TAGTGCTGCCCAACTTTGTGTGCAGGCAGAACTCCCAGTGCTGCCTGCCTGCTGCTGGACAGGGAACATTCATCCTGTGGCTGCCCAGGTTATCAGGTTCCTTTGTTTCACTGAAAGTGCTAGTTTATTCATAGTAGAAAGCTTCTGAGAGAGCAGAGAAGACAGAGGTGGAAAGGACCAGCAAGGATGGGACAGAACAGAAGGGCCTACAAAACATACCCTTTCCCCACAAGCCACAGGTCACCCCTCCTCAAGCCAGGCTGGCTGTTGCAGAATAGTTATGAGACAGGTGAGGCAGCCATGGACCAGCTGCTGGGAAAGTGGAGAGAGGGTCACACAGCTCCATGGCACAGAATGTCAGAAGTCTTTGATGCTTCCACTGCACTCACACCTCGCCTCTGCCTTCTTCACACTGAGAGGAATGAAAGAAGTAACACATGAACATCAAATATCAGGGGTATTTGTTGCAGGCAAGGGCAGGAGAGCACTGGGATACAGTCTGGGATTACCCTTGTGGCTGTTGGAGAACTGGTTTTACTAGCAGGATCTCTGCTGGGATGAGATGAATGGGGAGCAGGATTAATTTGCAATCCCTCTTACGTCAACACTTGACGGAAGACTTAATTACTGGGATTTCCCTCTGATTATCCTGGGAGAATTGGAGATCATTTTACAAGCTCTCACCCAGCATCAGGCAAGGAGCCATTCTCAGGCTGTTTGAGTCTTTCTAGATGTCAGGAATAAAAATTGTTTCCTGTGAGCAGCAGCAAGCAACATCCACAACAACTGCGGTCTGCAAAGGATACTTAAAGCAGGAGCATCTTTTTCCTCAAACCCTCAGCACATTTCTCTTTCATAACTGTTCTATAGCTCAAAATAACCTGTCCTGGCAGCTGGTGTTACTTGCATAAAGAGGAAGCTGAGGCCCTCAATGAGGTCAAAGGGAAGAGCACCCTGTCTAGACTAACATCCCTGGGGATTTCAGCCCCTGCCTCCTGGAAACCCCCCTGGTCCAGAATTGTCCTGGTGAGTCAACGCCACTTGCACAAAGCCAGCACTGAGGCAAACTCCAGAGCTATTCCATGACTGACAACTCTTGGGAAGGCTTCTGCAGGGCAAAGGAAATTTCCACCTTTCTCTTACCGCTTGATCCTTATCAGCTCTTCCTAGCCATGCTGTAGGCTGGATGAGAACCTGCAATTACACATCCTTTCCATCCTCATTCCTTATTTCCTTTCCGTCCAGCTAGAAGGCCTTCCTTGTGCAGCTCACCAAAAGGCCTGTCTACTGATACTCTCCATATCAGATGTTGCAGGCAATGGTCAGCCAGGTCTTTGATGCTTACTGAGCCTGGCACACTGGCAAGGCTCACATGGCCCACCGGCCTTTGGCATGATGTTTAGGAGTGACTTAGTGACTTCTTGTCTATGGCCAGCAGTGAGAAAGCCAGTATTCCCAAGCTATTTCTTCTGTGGGTTTTGGGGTCCCTCCTGCACTCCCACAGCTCGGTTTGCTCTTGCAGAAGGAACTCCTCTATGCAGAAGTTGCCCATCTGCACTGAGTGGTTGTGGAGGCTGTGGTTTGGGTGAGCCATCCTGCCCCCAGAAATCTTGCTGTGGAGGAGTTATTAATACTCCTGTTGCCCATGTGCCATGCTGACTAGCTTCCAGAGATAAGTGCTCTGTGCTCTGCTCATGCGCCTGTGGAGAGAGGGGACTTCCCAGGCCTAATTCAATGCTTCCCATTCCTTGCTTTCTTACACACCAATCTCTGCCGAGGCTGCTGAATCAGTGTTCATCCAGCCAACTTCCCTTTTTCACAAGGGGAAATATTTATAATCTAACACTCAAGCCACCACGCAGTGCAGCTGGTGGAAGACATCCAATAAACATCCCATTTAACTGCTGCCTTTGCTGCCAAGCCTCCTCCCAAGAGCTGGCGTCTTCAGTAGCATTCAGCTGCACTGTTGTTGATATACAGGAGATAATATTCGTTATGCCTTTTGTTGGATGCTGACCGCTCTGACGAACTGCAGGAAGGAATGTTCCTCATGTTAATCTTCAAATAATCAGCAAGGTTGTTCTGAGCTGAAAAAAATCATGTCAGTGTGGAAGAATTCATTAAACTTTGTCCTCAGTGGAGAACCTGGCTTGGTACTTGCCACTGAATCTAGCATGAAGATATTTTTGGAATAGGTAGTGTTGCTGTGCATAAATATCCTCTTTTTATTATTACCAGGTGATATGAGGATAATATCATTCAGAAATTCTGGCTCCATAGCTACAGCTGAGATTCGTTTTGTGTTTTAAGTAGAGATTTGAGTACTCTCCTGTTTGATGTTCCCTCCTCAGTGTTCTTATACTTACTTGCTATATATAAGAAGGAAGGATCTGAAAACAGACAGATACAAATGTTAAATAGCTGAAAAGTTAAAAATAATTAAAATTAGCCCTTGAAGAAATACAGCCTCTAGTAACAAACCTTTTTGATGTTTAATCATCACCATAGTAGAATAATAAAAAGACTTCAGGCTTCCTACACAGTAAAAGCTTCCTGCTATCATGTACAAAACCTACACAAGAATATTTATTTTTTTAATTCCTGGGTATTCTTCACATTACTTATGACATGTGAAAGTCTCTCTGACTGGTTACAGTAAGAATTCAGTTCAGAATTTTTCTTTTAAAAATGCCACCGAAGTCAGAGCTTGTCTTAAGTGGGGATCATTTGGAAGAGTTGCCCTTAAACACACTGATACACAAGCCTTTCCTCGGACCTACTCATCAATTTCTCTCAGTTGCTGTCTTCTCACAGCTTAGGCAGCCACCTTGCTTGAGAGTGAATGTGACTGTATTCCACCAGGTACACCTGGAGGACAGGTTCTGTGACAAATAGGCTTTCAGTTCAAAAAACTGAAATCGATTTTAATGAAATACCTTCACAGACATTGGACAGCAGGTCTGGAAACCATCTGATTAAAGAATTCAGCGATATTAAAAAGCATTGAATGGCTGGCAGGAACATCCATATTTTTAAAAGTGAATGAATGTTTTAAAAAGGATAGTGAGACTTCTTCTGAGGGCCTCTGGTTAGCTCTAACTCATAATGTTTTGATGCTGGAGTAAATATGTCCTGTCTTTCTGCTGTGGGCTTGTCCATTGTCCTATGCCATGTCCATCACTAGCCATTATCAGAGAGAGGACAGTGGAGGAGCTGATCTGTGTGGTCTGGGAGCTGGTCTGGAGGTCACCAGCAGTTGGCAGCGATGAGGTGAGTCAGGACTCCAGCTGAGCTGCAAGGATGTGGACCTACCATGGCCTGCCACCTCTTATTTAAGAGGTGAGGTTCATTGGGTGAGTAGACAGCTCAGTCAGACTTGTACAGAGCAACAATACACAATGTAACTGCTGATTAGACCTCTATGTCAAAATAAATTCAGTTTGAAGAAACATGGGGTAGAATTTACCTCACCAGATTTGGAAGTCTGGTTCAGAACAAGATGACTTCTCCATAGAATAACCTCTTTCTCTCCATTGCTTGGAAAGGGGATGCAGCCCCCATGCCTCATGAGATGAAGAGATGTTCATTTGATCAGATGGATCTCAGCTTTAGTCTTTTAAGAAAAAGTAACTATGAAGTTACGCTCCAAACCTTAAATGTATGCTCTTTTGTGTTGTTGTAAGCTTGCACTGTGTTTCACAACTGAAAGGAAAATAATGGTGTGACTTAACATTGGGGAGTTCACCTGTTGAGACATGACAATACCCCAGACTTCTAGGTCGTTTTTAGAGTTGTGGCTTAGGTAACAAAACTGTATGCAACCTTTTGTAGAGATTCTTGAAACCCTGTGTAAACAGCAGTTTGTTACCCTACCTGAGCAGAGGTATGTGTGTTGCAAAGGTCGGAGGAGAACAGGATGAGGGCTGGGGGGTTGAGAGGAGGTAAGAAGCCAGTTGCTTCTTGCAGAGGGTGGAGGTTTCTAGGTGAGCTCTGTATTGGTGTTTGCTGGGAAAGTTCATCCCAACTCAGTTGCTGGTGAGCAGGAGAGGCCAGCAGGATTCTGTGGGACAGGGAAAGGGTGTGCTAGATGTGGCTGGGGCTGTGGAAGAAACAGGGCTTCAGCTGGAGCTGCCTCCTGGGAATGGAGAAGGAAACCGGCTTCTCTTGAGCTCCAGGAGTGCAGTAGGTGAAAGTTGCTGAGAAGTGAAGTGGGAGGTTTCCTCAAAAAGCAAGGAGGGAGCCTCACTAGCCTGTTAGGCTAGTGCATGAAAGCTGAAAACCTGCCTAGCAGCAGGAAAAGCACTGGGGGAAGACGAAAGGAGCATTGTGAATGCTTACTTCCTTAAAGTGGTTTGTGTATGACTGAATCTGGGCTGTCTTTGATGAAGGATGTTTTGTTCCCCTAAATGAACTCGTGTTTTAGATCAAGCAAAAGTAATTAATATTCATGCATGATTTTTTAGTAGTTTAGGTAGAAATAACTTTAGTCACTGGGTGAAATGGAAACAGATATGTATAAATATATTGTAATGGTAGTCTGTGTCCTCAAAGGAGTTAACTTATATGCTTGTTGATGTCTAAAGGTTATTTTGACCCATGCCTCTTATCCAAACATATAGTTTAACTATATGGCCAGCACACAGTATCTGGGGTCTCTGGGACATATTACAGGGAGGCAGAGCAGTGCAACACTGTTTTATGGCTATTTAGCCACTGATTTATTTTTAGTTGATTGGGTAACATCCTTATCTGGATTGTGATCATGATGGTGGCTGTGCTAGTTATATCCCAGCAATGAGTTCAAACATAGCCCCTTAAAAGAAGTGGCCTAGCACTTTCCAGAAGTGATGGATGAATAATTTTGCATGGTTAGTAAAAACAGTGATTAGCATCATAAAGCATATGCAGTTTTTATAGAAGTTTCTCAGTAGCTTGTAGTGGATTGCCAGGTGCAAGGCAGAATGAAAAAGGATTAGAGCATAAAAGTAAGGTCAGAATAGTTTTTAAGAGGAACACTGTTTCGACTTTTTATTGTCTAAAAGAAGAAAATGCAGAAATGCCACAACAGCTGACGCAGAAACAGTAAAAAAAAGGTCTGATTATGTAATTCACACACATTCATCCACATTGTTTCACAGAGACAGCAAATCAGTGTTGTCTTCTGCCATTTACTGTAGATAAAAGATACATTTTGGTATGGCAAGAATTGACTACTGGTAACACTCTGTGAACTTTGTCAGTTGAGAAAAAATTAGAAATTTGTTGGGAAAGGGCATATTTTCCTCAGTGGCCTTTGCTGCCTCAAACTGCAGAGATATCCAAAGGTTTCCAGGGCTTCTTTGCTAACACAGGACTGAAAGCTGAATAATTCATTGCTCTCTGCATCATTTTCAAGACAGCAATGAAATTGCATTAGGGATATTTGGAAATATAAAAGACATATACAAAAAAATTGTTTAAATTTTGGCAATGTGTCATGATTGGTAGGTGACAGAGTAATGTTTACTTTGGGGATACACCCATTTCTCTGTGGATTAGCAGCAGTGAGAACGAATACCTGCTTCCAGCTGGTTGCCGGGCTTCCACAACGCTTAACAGAAAAGATTAATCTAAAATAGGTCATCGCTTCATCTGGAAAGTTGTGTAACAAGTTATCAATCTCTCCCTCACCTCTATTAAGTGTTTCAGAATTACAGGAAGCATTTAATTTTGCCAGCCTCCACTATGTGGAAATGTTAAGGCATGTCCCTGCAAGACTGTTATTTCCTAACCTGCAGATGAAAGGATCTTAAAATGCTTTCTCTCTGCTGTAAATTACTTTGCACACTCAAGGGAGATTGCCCCACTGCATGTTTAAAAGTGCTTTAAAAGCCAAAAGCTGGGGATTGTGAAGAGACTCACAGCAGCTCTGTACTATTTTCTTTCACAACATGCTGAAGCACCAAAGCATCTCTAAGAGGGTTTTATAATTAGATCTGAACTTGCCTGTGCAGCAGTTTCTAGCATAATGCATCCACACGAGAGAAGGCTACAACAGAAACCGAGGATAAATTTGTTTGTCGTAAATGTAACTCATCTAAAAATGGACCATGACAAAACAGCCACATTTGGAAGGGATTTTAGTCAGTTACATATTCCGTCTTGATGGTTGAGTTCACACATTGATTTTAGAAAATCAGGCTACCTTAAAATGAATGAGCCTCTTTCTCTAAAATTTCCCCCAGAAAATAAGGCATTATTGAATGTTTTAAATGTGCTAGAAGACTGGGATGTATCACTGGTATGAGGACTGTTCTGCATGAAGAGATTTGTCATGCTGTGCATGTTTTATCAGGAACTTTATGCTACAATATTACGACATTTCATATCTTCATATTCTAGTAATGTATGTTTCTTAAAATTTTTATGTCCTTCCAAGCGAGGAGGTCACTCCATCACTGTACAGTTGGTCTTAGCGCCTGTTCCTGCATATGGAGGGCTTCAGTGCATTGTCTCAGTATGAGGATGTGAAAGCACAGAACTGTTCTTTAAAATGCTCTGCAGATGAAGATCTGGGCATTAAGTTTGATGCTTTAAGCCTCTTAAGACTGAAGTTTGTACTAGTTACTTCTTGTCATTAAAGACATGTTTTGCCCGGAGAGAGAACACAACTGGTGATGTTTGAGGAATGAAAGTGGAGCAATGGTGCAACTTTTTTTTACTCAAGTTAATAGAAATAAAAAAGCTATTCTGCTTTCTAGCAATGTTGCTATCCATGTCTTTCTTCCTGCTTTTCCTTGTATATACATATTTGCAGCTGATGCCAGGAGCTGACTGCAACTGTGGGATCATAACCACACACCTCTGCAATTTTTCTCCTCCCTGTCTGCCTGTGTGAAGGCAGGTTACACCACAGAGCAAGTCACTGCTCGCGCTTGTGCATGTTGTCCCCGGCAGTTCCACTCCCAGGATGGGAGGCTGAGAATGGAGAGGAGTCGATGGTGCGGTGCCAGGGATAGCAGAGGCCCAAAGCTGGTCAGTGGGTTACTCAATGCTATCTTCCTAAAGAGTAAAATATACCAAGAGGAAAGAAAAAAAAATGGATCTGAGCATGTGCTGGAAAAGAAGAGGAAAACAGTAATTCTCTGAGTGTCTTTAAAAGTCATCATAATTTTATTTCCTGTCAGAAACACTCGGATACTTCTGTCGAATGGTATTTGCAGGGTGCTGGTGCAAAGAAGCGAGACATCTGATAAAACTAAATTTTGTTGGCTGAAGAAGTCAAAATGGAAATTACTCAGAAATTAAAACCCTCATAAAATAAAGAGCAAGTCCCTCTCCCAGCAAAGGACTTCAGCTGTAAGGCAATCTTGAGGAAACTCAGACTGCTTGCCCATCCTCAGTATGCTCCTCTACCTCAGAGCACAGTTTAATTTTTTTCTAATTTTCCAATTCTTTAACGAGCGAAATCATTATTACTTATTACCATCCGTTATTACTGGATGAACTTCATTAATCATTTGTTTCATAACTAAATAGCTTACTCGAAGGGACAAGCTTCAGTACCTTACGGCCGGTACCCCTACGCATGAAGGACGTGGGTCAGGAGGGCACCGAGCCCCGTTCATGCGGACTCGCGGGTCGCTGCTCCCGCCCGCACGGCGGCCCCAGCCCCGCATCCCCCTGCCCCGCATTCCCGGGTTCCAGTCCCGCACACCCCGATTCCTGTCCCATGATCACTCAGCCCCGCATTCCTCGGTTCCACTCTCGCAGCCCACAGTGCCAGTCTCGCAGCCCCCGTTCCAGCCCCGCATCCCCCGATTCCAGTCTCGCATCCCCCGTGTCAGTCACGCACCCGCCGTTCCCGTCCCACATCCCCGATTCCAGCTCCTCAGCCCCGGCCCCGCCCCGCGGTGACGCAGCGGCGGCGGCGGTCACGTGCAGCGGAGGGAGGCCCGGCCCGCCGCACCCGGAGCGGCCGCCATGCCGATGCCGATGCCGCCGCTGCCCCTGCCCGGCCGCCCCCGCCTCGGGCGGGCCTCGCTCCTGCCGCTACTCCTGCTGCTCCTGCTCGCGGGTCCGGCGCGGCCCATCTCCTTCCAGCTGCCGGGCAAGGCGCGGAAGTGCCTGCGGGAGGAGATCCACCGCGACACGCTGGTCACGGGCGAGTACGAGATCGGCGCCCCGCCGGGCTCCTCCACCGGACCCTCCGCCAACCTCAAGGTGCGGCTCCGGCCGGCCGGCCGGGGGGGCGGGGGTGGCCGGGGCGGACGGCGCGGACGGCGCGGCCCCGCCTCCCCTCCCGGGGCGGGGAAGGAAGGGGTGACGTTCTCCACGCGTGACACCGGCCACGCGTGGGCTCACGGCCCGGGCCGCACGGCGGGACTCGCCCCGTGCGAGGGGACACCAGCCCGCCCAGGAGCTCGGAGTTTGGGGCAGCGAGGGATCAGGGCAGCACTTTGGCCTAAGCCCAGTACGGGCTTTTTCTCCCCAAAGATCTCGTCGTCTCGTTCCGTCCCATCCAGGCAGCTGCCGTGTAATCCGCACACGATGCGCATTATCCGGCGTCTGGCGAGACGGGCCTCTGCGATAAAGCCGTACTAAGGCTGCTGGCACCGTGTAAGTGGGAGAGAATTATGGTGACGTGGCCTTCCAAGGGCTCCCTCCCCACGTAGGGAGGGCCTGGCACAACGGGATCCTGGCACAACGGGATCCTGGCACAATGGGATGGGGTCTGAGGAACCACGTTTCGGTGCACAAAATGGCTATTCCCATCTGGCTGTGTCAAGGCTCGCCTGGATTTTAAGGAGACGGGCGTTTGGTGCACAGAAGAAAATGATCCTGAAGGATCTTTAGGGAGTACAGAGTCAGCAGAATATATGGGACTAATACACCTATGTGACAAGCAGTTAGCAAAACTTAAACAGCTTCACTTTAATTCTGCCCACAATCTGCCTTTCCTAAGCTTTCTTCAAAATTCCCACCTAGCTGAGTAAGGTTTGTTGCTATGCAGTCAGTTCATGATAGCTTTCTGTCCCTTTTTTATTTCTGTCTACATTCCCAAAGTTTTCAAAAGTAAGCATGCAAACAAACAAACAGGATGGTCTTCTCAGGACACTTTGAACTCAGTGGTAATGAGTATTTTAGATCTGAAATCAAGTTGCCCTTCCAGCATCTGCCTACTGATGCCTGAAGGCTTTGGGTTATTGGCAGTTGTGCTTCGTTATGGCTAGAGAAGGCTGTTTCTGGAGTCTTGCTTTTTAAAAATTGTTCTGCTGTTCTTGCATCATTTCTGAGAGAAAACTTGCCTGTGCATAGGCAGAGCCAAGCAGCATTAATGCTTTAAAATGCTGCTGGAGTATTTGCCTCATAAGGCACATGTATTTCAGGTGAAGTGCTATGTTCCCATCTGTCTCTTACCACTTGGTGACCAGGCTTCCTGATTCTCAAGTTGCCCACTCTTAGGTCAGCTGACCCCAAAGTCTCTTCCAAAACTCACTTTTATGACAGAGGACTTGTCTAGGGAGATGGTGGTGAAGCAATGAATCCAACGTTTGGATCTTAGTCTGGCTTTGCTGATGAAGCTGGTATCCACGTAGTACTGCTCATGGAAGTTCTATTTTGTTCTAACTGTAAAATAAAATAAAATTTAAAAGTCCTATATTAGTTTGAAAAGCTACAAAGAAGAAATAATAATTTATGTAATTTTTGCTTTCCTTCAGGTATGCTGTGGCCTTCCAGTATGCTGCATCTGTTATAAGTGCTGAAACCCCTCTGCTAGGTGCCTGCTTTCTCTTTGGTTTGTGTGGGAAAGGTTAGTCCAGGGCATCATGTCTGCAGGTAGTCTCTCTCCTGCACTGCATGGTCCTGCCTTGCCCTCCTGGGTTGGGCCATCAAACAGAGGAGTTTGGTAGTTAATTCTGTCCAGGCTCAGGTGGGTTTCTGCCAGTGAGCTGAATTTATGTGTGTGTGATACCCCAGCACTAACAGTGGCACCCTCTGTTTTGGAGGAATCTGCAGGCTCTGCCAGCTGGCTGCTGAGGGCCCTGCCACGTGCCTCTGCCCCATTGTCGAGGCTGGCACTTTGGGAAACTGTCTCTGTTTGTCAAGAGCGAACAATGCCCTGTCTGTAGGGGATCGCATTACCGTAAGTAACTTTAGAATAGCATGAAAACTCCCTTTCAGGTCGACTCCCCCACAGGCCGTCTGACTGGGCTATTAGCAGCTTCTCCCGCCCCCGCAGGCCCTGCTCAATGGGCAGTGTATTGGCTGATTTGGATAGTGCTATTCAGTTCTGATGAAAGTGGATAGCAGAGCTTTTACTGTCCAGAATCCTGTTCATGAGCTGCAAAGGGCAAAAATGGATCAAGCTGCATAATATTCTCTGGATAAAGATTAGCTCTGGTGTCTATAAAGCCCTAAGGGAATAGTGCTCAAAATAATAGGGACCTCTGAGAGCTAAGTTGTTCTGAGAACTTCTTGGGATGGAGAACCCAGTGTGCAGAGTGTATGGTGTCATGCTGATGAGGCATGTTGGTTAATTGGGACCGCTCCACTAAATAGCGTGTGCCATATGGTGGCCAAACCACAGGCTGACCACACTGTGTCTGCGTGGTCAGACATGGACAGTCCTGTACTCCAGCCTGCTCACTTGGGCCCAGTGCCTCCCAGTAGTCTGGTGGCCTCCAGACAGGAGGTGGCTGTTTTCTGGTGGCGTGTGGCAGGGGGGTGGTAGCACAGCTGGCTGTGCCTGACTGCGCAGGTGTGCTTTCATCTGCTTGCTGCTTGAAAACAGGTAGAGCTCTGAGCAGGAACTGCAGCATGGGAGAAGACTGCTCCTTGTTCTCAGATGTGAACAACGTATGGTGCAGGGGTAGCTACAACAAAGCCCTTAACAGACAATTGTGGGATAATCTGTATGTAGAGGAAGCTTGTTCCTAAAGTCTTGCCTTCTATGGTTTATACCATCAGGCCTGAGGATTTATATGCTTTCTTGTTTTTCCTGCCTCATGCAGCAATTCTAATTATGCATGAGAAGGTCCACGTTTGTTTTAAGTCCAGCAGGCTACCAGCATCAGTGGTATCTCATGGCAGAGAGTTAATTAGGTGTTCTAATAAGAATAAAGGGTGTTTCCTTAGAATAACTCTGGGTATGTAGCCCTTTTGAAAGGTCTTCGTACAGGGAAACCAGGCTGTTTTTCCCTCGTAAGATGGAGTAAAGTCTGACCTACCTTTTCCATAGCACAAATTATTTTGTGTACTTTTATCTTACATACCCTTAAAATTATTCCCAAGATGTTTAGTCTCTTCATCTCTAAGACTTTCAAAGACCCCTAGTAACTGTAGCATTTGTGCCTTTTCAGACATACCTGTTGATGGATAGAGTTGAGGGAAACTGGGAGGCATTCCAGTGGAATCACACTGTTGATTTTCATGCGGTGTTGTAACACCTCCGGGTTTTTCCACCCCTCTTCAAGGTCAGAGTGTTTCAACTGGATGGAGCCTCATTAATTGAGCACAGTTATTCTCAAGTTTGTGTCATGAAATGCATGTTCTTTTTTTATACTCTTTGTTGAAGCATTTTTATAGACCTTCCACAGCTTTTGCCTATTCTTAGTAGTTTTATAGACTTAGTGCAAAGCAGTCATTATTCTGTCTGCGTAGTCCGAATAGTCCTCTGAAGTGGCCACTTTTATGGATCTTGGCACCCAAACCTTGTCTACCTCAGAGCCACGCTCATGATTCATTTCAAGAGGAATAGATGTGCCCTTCTCCATTTCATCTTCTGGGGAATGAGTCGTCTTTGTACCATAAGGCTTCTCCATATCTCTGTTGCTATGGGAGTTCATGGATTTTGCTTGCAAAATTAAGGCAGTGAATAACCGTTTGGTTCAGCTAGAGTTCCTACATGTAGTCTGTATTTGGGGTTTACAGGAGGAAGAGGAATTAGTGTGGTTTTCAGTTTGGGGTTTTTTTTTTGGTTGCTTGGTTGGTTGATTACTTTTTGGTGGTAGGGGTTTTTTCTTTGGGTGTTTTTTGGGTTTGTTTTTTTTGAATCTAAAGAGTCAATAATTACTTTAGAGTCACTCTGGCTGTCAGCTCCTGGAGTGGGGATTACAAGCAGAGGAACTGACGTAGTTGTGAAGAAGGAGGGAAACTGTTGAAAGGAGAAAGCATCAGATCCAAAGGGATTACTAGGATTACTTTTCCTGCAGAGGCAGCATGAACCCGTGGCAGCAAAGTACTGTTACCATCATTTTCTCTCTTACAGATAATATTTCTTACCGTCATTGTCTTACCCTCATTGTCTCTCTTACAGATAACTGACTCAGCTGGGCACATCCTGTACGCCAAGGAGGATGCCACTAAGGGCAAGTTTGCCTTCACCACTGAAGACTATGATATGTTTGAGGCCTGCTTTGAGAGCAAGCTTCCTGTGGGTAAGTGAAAGATCTGTTGGTTGCTTCTAGCTTCTGATCATGATAATGTGGATTAGGGATACAGGTAAAAATGATCCTTAGCACGGTCCACAGAATACTGTTTGACTTTTAAAGCTGATCCTCAGGGTGTCGTGGGCAGTCTCACTGCAGAGTATCTGCTGTCAGTGTTGCATTTGAAGTTTAATAATTCTCTGTGGCTGTCGTGTAGAGCGCTTGGGTTTCCTCTGTAAGGGGAATCAGATGTTCCTCCCACGACAGTCACCACAGTTTCAATAAGTGGCAGTACCAGGGAGCAACCCACACTTCTTTTGCCAGTTTCATGCTTCTCCCCATCTTGCAGTTGAGTCAGGACAGAGCAAGATGCCATCATCTCCAGGACCTGTCTTTCACCCCTGCTGGCCAACTCTTCCCATTTGGTAGAACTTGATCTCTCCACAAGTGTGTACTA